GTGACAGACAAGAATAGTCAATTCTAATGTCTAACCCTGTATGGGTTGATTGTGCGTTGATCTGTTGGTAATGCCTCGGGGTTCCGGTGGGCATGTAAACAAATGCATAATGCTGCGCTATACTTTGTGGCCTCACCCAGTTGCATAGCGACACTTATTGTTTAGGTGTCTTTTAATAAGCAGGTAGTCATATCATTAGCTAGAACTAGCTGGATCTGATCGATATGGACATAAACGCGAGTGAAGTCTAATCTGACGGGAGAGAGAGATCAGCTGCTGCTGACGAGTCGACACGCAGCTCTGCAGGATCAGCGGTGAGCGGACAAAACACACACTTCAGGTTAGAATATCACACGTAGCTATTTTTAATGACCTCTCAAACTACCGTAACTAGTTATAGATATGTTTAGTTTTACTGTCGGGTCACTCATTACTGATCCGCGAGCTGCATGATACTGACGGGCTGTCAGGAGAGACTGCGGTCAAGCCAGCCGTCTTTCACTTTTGCGTGGTCAAACCAGCCGCCCCTGTATTTCGAGTGCGCGATTAGTTACAGGTTTACGGTAATGCAATAAAACAACCCTGGGAAGCTGGACGTTTCGTATGTGCAGGAACACTTCCGGTGAGGATTTCAAAGTAAAGGATGGCATGTGGGTCATTTATATTATCTGCGATTGAGGAACAGGGTAATTTATGAGAATAATGTTAGGACTTATTGCTTCATACACTTGTTGCACAAATACTATGAACTACTTTTACTGTGTACTTCTTGAGAATGGCAAAAGTCCCTCCAGAGAACAAGAAGGAGCATTTTCGTCAACTTTAATGTGGTCTAAAAAACATTTCTTCCATAAGTAGTTTATGAAACTGCCATGTTTGTACTTAATACTTCTTAGACTACTTGCACAAATAATATGAACTACTTTTACTGTGTGCTTTTTGAGTAATTTGAGTTTCAAAGTCCCCTCCGGAGAACAAGAATGAGCATTTTTGTCAACTTTAATGTGGTCTAAAAAACATTTCTTCCATAAGTAGTTTATGAAACTGCCATGTTTGTACTTAATACTTCTAGGACTACTTGCAAAAATAATATGAACTACTTTTACTGTGTACTTTTCAGTAAATTGAGTTTCCAAGTCCCCTCCGGAGAACAAGAATGAGCATTTTCGTCAAATGTAATGTGGTCTAAAAAACATTTCTTCCATAAGTAGTTTATGAAACTGCCATGTTTGTACTTAATACTTCTAGGACTACTTGCAAAAATAATATGAACTACTTTTACTGTGTACTTTTTGAGTAATTTGAGTTTCAAAGTCCTCTCCAGAGAACAAGAATGAGCATTTGTGTCAAATTTAATGCGGGATAAAACACATTTCTTCCATAAGTAGTTTATGAAACTGCCATGTTTGTACTTAATACTTCTAGAACTACTTGCAAAAATAATATGAACTACTTTTACTGTGTACTTTTTGAGTAATTTGAGTTTCAAAGTCCTCTCCGGAGAACAAGAATGAGCATTTGTGTCAATTTTAATGTGGGACAAAAACACATTTCTTCAATAAGTAGTTTATGAAACTGCCATGTTTGTACTTAATACTTCTAGGACTACTTGCAAAAATAATATGAATTACTTTTACTGTGTACTTTTTGAGTAATTTGAGTTTCAAAGTCCCCTCCGGAGAACAAGAATGAGCATTTTTGTCAACTTTAATGTGGTCTAAAAAACATTTCTTCCATAAGTAGTTTATGAAACTGCCATGTTTGTACTTAATACTTCTAGAACTACTTGCAAAAATAATATGAACTACTTTTACTGTGTACTTTTTGAGTAATTTGGGTTTCAAAGTCCTCTCCAGAGAACAAGAATGAGCATTTTTGTCAACTTTAATGTGGGATAAAACACATTTCTTCCATAAGTAGTTTATGAGTCTGCCATGTTTGTACTTAATACTTCTAGGACTACTTGCAAAAATAATATGAACTACTTTTACTGTGTACTTTTTGAGTAATTTGAGTTTCAAAGTCCCCTCCGGAGAACAAGAATGAGCATTTTTGTCAACTTTAATGTGGTCTAAAAAACATTTCTTCCATAAGTAGTTTATGAAACTGCCATGTTTGTACTTAATACTTCTAGAACTACTTGCAAAAATAATATGAACTAATTTTACCGTGTACTTTTTCAGTAATTTGAGTTTCAAAGTCCCCTCCAGAGAACAAGAATGAGCATTTGTGAACTTTAATGTGGTCTAAAAACATTTCTTCCATAGACATATGACACTGCCATGTTCTTCTGCCCTAGTTGCAGAGAAAGCTATTCCAATTGCTTGCCCTGGCTTCTTGGAGTTGGTCCTGATTCATCCCCAGGCACTGCTCATGGAACCATCTTTCACAGGTGTCACACTGTATCTGTAAAATGAAATGATTGACCATCAAATCTGATACATCTTGTCATTGGAAATGATGAAGTATTGAAGTGCAATAGAGAATAATTTTGACAAAATTAGATTCATGTCAACTTTATTACATGTATCTATAGTCTGTAGCATACTCACCTCAAACACCAGTTTAATATCTGAAAATAACTATATTATGTCTACATTTTCAGTTTTTCAAATAAAAATGTTTTTTAGGTAGTTATAGGTAGAAGATTTATAGTTCTGGGAAAACCCCATGTTGCATCACTATAATGTAGTTACCTTTTGGTATTCTTAATTGGTCAGTTACTGTATGTATTGCATACGAGCTGCTTCTCCCTGCTTCCCATATTTTGATAGTGACTTACAGGATGTTGGTGTGTGAAAGAGGACAACAGCAGATAACACACACAAACCTCTTTCCAAGTGGTCCGTTTTACATTAGGAGTGTTGCCTCAAGGTATAACTTGGTTTCCAGGCCTGATCTGGTGGACATGTACCGTCAGTCTCCCAGCGGCGTAGAGTGAGGTGGAGGAACCGCGGGGTGCGCTAATTCAGTGCCCCATATTGCTATTTTCCAAGCTAATGTAGCTTTGTCATATTTGTCAACGCTGCATTGAGGCTATTGTCATCATGTGGGTGGACTTAGACTCAAACCTGGGGTGAAGTTACACTTTAATTTAATATGTTGCTATTAGACATGATTAGAATTGTCAGTATCCCTATTCCACTACTCATCACATTTTATATTCTCTCTGTTCATTATATGTGTAAACAATGTATATACATTACCATTTATCTGAGAGAAGTTGTCTTGACTGTTTTGTTAGTAAATCAATTTATATCGGTTCCACAGTCATTTTGAATAAAGTTAATGTGTGTGGGCTGCAGCTGGGGCGACGCACGAGGTTGCCGTAAAAAAATTATTCGGCATGCGCCGAAAAGTAGAAATCGAAGCATGGCCCTGCAGCGTTTTCGCTGGACCGCCTGATCTGGATAGACCCAGTGACTCAACAGTTTTATAAATACATCTAATATCATAAATTGAATTTGATTAGAATATGATGAAGCCCTATTATAACTACACTACGACAAATACTCACCCAATCTGTAGTGGGAGGCCCAGATACTGGGGGCTTTGAGGCAGAGCACATTGCACAGTTGTTCTCCATGTGAAACACTGCAGGAAAAGAAAATATGTTATTTAGACATACTGTATATGTATACAGTTAATAGTTTATTGGCAGCAGAAGTGCAGTCAAATTCTATGCAGCTGTTCAGCTGTAAATTATAGCTTATGAACTCTAAATGGATCATGAATGGGATCATTAACACAGGTTTAATATGTTTTTAAGGATGGATGTTTTAAAAAGAAGACTATGTACACAGTGTGAACAGAACAACATATAAGCAGACATACATAAACAATCCGTAATATTCTAAACATTACTAGGCAATGACCTGTATGCAACACATTTAAAAATGCAGGAATTTATATTTGTCACTGTTTCACTCTAAGCCCTGTTTTGTGTTCCATATTTCACCCATGCCTCCTGCCACTCTGCCTGTAAGCTTTCAATAAACCACCTATAAACTGTTCCTGGATGCCTGGTACAATCTGTATTCGTTTCCTCTTCCCTGCTCTCCTGACACAAACCGTGACAGTTTAAGTGTCAGTATTTACATTCCTTATTGCAGCAGGAAAAAAAGTTATTCTTCAACTGTTAATGTCTCAATGGAGTGTGTGTGAGAGAAATATAAGTTATGGGTTCAACTGAGATATGTATGGAATATTTGGTTTGGGCCCTGTGCTTAAAATCAATGATGCTGTGTAGGCTATAAATGCTGTAGTGTGTGGACTCAAAGGCAATTTTACAGGCTGTAGTTATTGTAGATTTGTTTGATTGCATTGGATTAATAGAAGTTCATCATTTCCATAACAACTAACTAAGAACCATAACATAAAGCAGGACAAATGACTTACAAACCTGAACCATTGAGTATTGATAGTGTAAACTTTCTCCTCTCACAAGCCATCTCCTTTTTGGATGTCCCAAAGGACATAATTGGTAATGTAGGAAAGGCCTCCATCACTGCTCTTGCCATCTACACACCAACACACAGAATCACACTTCTCATCTGCGCTACATTGTTTTTGCCAGTAAAATTACAACATTGAATTGATATTTCAATAAAAATGATCAAACTATTAATAACTAATAGTTGTAATGAGGTAATTAACACAACTTGAAGAATGTACATGGCAAACTACATGGGTTGTGTCAACAACCAGCCCTCTTATCACTTTTACACAATTCCCCTAAAAAATAAACTGAAAATTGATCATTCAGAAACTAATGACTTATTTTTTAACATCATTGACTATTTTATACTTTAAACTTGTATAATAATCAAGACACTGAAATAAATATAAGAATATATATGTAGCAGAAGCATACATATTACATATAGTAGTTAAAGTAAAAAACTACGTTACCATGGTAACAATAACCCCACAGCTACTGCCATCACGTTGAACTGGATGGTGCATGGTTGCTCCTCTCCATTTGACAGTCCCCCAGTGCTCCTTGCCATAGCAGGTCCTCCTCATCTTGAAGTATTCCCTTTGTAAAACACATTGTGGAATAGTCTCTAATGTAACTCCCAACAGACACATGTAGAATAAAAATCTTTAAATATTGTGTAAAATAAAAACACTCCATCCCAACAGTATGGACACTGGAAAATATTGTAGGTTACCTTGCTTACTGAGCTACTTCATTTAGAATTGTGTACACAGATACTAAGGGCGGGATAAGGAAATATCATTTGAAAAACAGCTGAGACCACCGCTTCAGTGGTGTGGGTTTGGGAACTTCTGTTAACATACTTATGTTTACTTAAACACAAAGCACTAAATATAATTCTAAGATCACTTTATATCTAATTTGCTGACTTACCGTACTCTTTTCGCAGCATTTTCCGAGTCTGCTTTCTCTTTGGAATTTGCCGCTGGATCCACCAAAAATACTGATCTTATAGCAGGAAATAAGTACTAAAAAAAAGGGATGTTATTTCAAAACAGCATCAAACATATATACATATTTAAATGAAATGGATTTCTGAATGAAAACAATCACTAACCAGCAACTTCCAGTGTGTTCTTTCAATATTTACAAAGGCGATCACGGCTTGATAATCATTAAAGTTGATCTATAACAGCAATAAAAATACTTTTTTTTAAGTTTTCGTAGGAATATGATGCCTTATTTTATTAAAAATAAATCATGGTGTTTGAATTTGTATATTAAATTACAAAATAGAAAACCCAAAGTACTATAACACAGCCTCGCCTACCGATTTCAAATGTGTGCTCTAAAATGATATTTATAAATGACTATTATCATTATTATAAGCAAGACAATAAATGGCAAAGATATGTAGAAAATAAACGTATTTGAGATACGTTCATAGGCAAGGCAAGGCAAGTTTATTTATATAGCACTTTTCAACACAAGGCAATTCAAAGTGCTTTACAAAAATGAAAGACATTAAGAAAATGGCATTAAAAATCAGTCATTAAAAGAAAAGCTAATACAATAAACATTAAAAGAAAAAATACATGGATAAAAGTTACAGTGCAGTCTAAGATATGAATAGTTCAATTAAAAGCAGCGACAAAAAGAAAAGTCTTCAGCCTGGATTTAAAAGTAGTCAGAGTTGCAGCGGACCTGCAGGTTTCTGGGAGTTTGTTCCAGATATTTGGAGCATAATAACTGAACGCTGCTTTACCATGTTTAGTTCTGACTCTGGGGACAGAAAGCTGAAGATATTCAATAGAAACGTAACGTGGGAGAAAATGTGTTTCTAGAAGATATTTAGAAAATAAACGTATTTGAGATACGTTCATAACGAACGTAACGTGGGAGAAAATACGTTTCTAGCTAAACGTAATTGAGAATGCAGTTTAGTTCTGTGGGAACGTACTTTTTAGGAGACAGGGTGAGCAGTCAAACATGGTGGTGGAAATATTACATTCTCTAGGAGTGACTTTGCCATTGGATTACTGAAAAAAATGACAGTAAAAGTAGTTCATATTATTTTTGCAAGTAGTCCTAGAAGTATTAAGTACAAACATGGCAGTTTCATAAACTACTTATGGAAGAAATGTGTTTTATCCCACATTAAAGTTGACACAAATGCTCATTCTTGTTCTCTGGAGAGGACTTTGAAACTCAAATTACTCAAAAAGTACACAGTAAAAGTAGTTCATATTATTTTTGCAAGTAGTCCTAGAAGTATTAAGTACAAACATGGCAGTTTCATAAACTACTTATGGAAGAAATGTTTTTTAGACCACATTAAAGTTGACAAAAATGCTCATTCTTGTTCTCCGGAGAGGACTTTGAAACTCAAATTACTCAAAAAGTACACAGTAAAAGTAGTTCATATTATTTTTGCAAGTAGTCCTAGAAGTATTCAGTACAAACATGGCAGTTTCATAAACTACTTATGGAAGAAATGTTTTTTAGACCACATTCAAGTTGACAAAAATGCTCATTCTTGTTCTCCGGAGGGGACTTTGAAACTCAAATTACTCAAAAAGTACACAGTAAAAGTAGTTCATATTATTTTTGCAAGTAGTCCTAGAAGTATTAAGTACAAACATGGCAGTTTCATAAACTACTTATGGAAGAAATGTTTTTTAGACCACATTAAAGTTGACACAAATGCTCATTCTTGTTCTCTGGAGAGGACTTTGAAACTCAAATTACTCAAAAAGTACACAGTAAAAGTAGTTCATATTATTTTTGCAAGTAGTCCTAGAAGTACTAAGTACAAACATGGCAGTTTCATAAACTACTTATGGAAGAAATGTTTTTTAGACCACATTAAAGTTGACGAAAATGCTCATTCTTAGGACTTTTGCCATTCTCAAAAAGTACACAGTAAAAGTAGTTCATAGTATTTGTGCAACAAGTTTATGAAGCAATAAGTCCTAACATTATTCTCATAAATTACCCTGTTCCTCAATCGCAAATAATATAAATGAACCACATGCCATCCTCTACTTTGAAATCCTCACCGGAAGTGTTCCTCGATGGGATTTTCTGTAGCTTTAAAGTGGTCGAATATATAATACTGCACATACGAAACGTCCAGCTTCCCAGGGTTGTTTTCATTGCATTACCGTAAACCTGTAACTAACCGCGCACTCGAAATACAGGGGCTGCTGGTTTGACCACGCAAAAGTGAAAGACGGCTGGCTTGACCGCGTCAAATTATTATTCCCGTTTTATTGTAAATTACTGTTCACTTTTGAATAATGTAGTTAATCTACTATAATTAGTTTAATATTGAATCATATCAATTTGTTTTAAAGCTCAATAAATAACAAAGACCTTTGACCGGCACTTTTCTCATTTTGTCCGGAAGATTTACACTTTAACGGACATGTTGACCGGCGAAGAAATATTCTAACGGGAACTCTGGTACAAACTGAGAGCGTTCAGATAGATAGGACCTAAACCAGCCTAAAGCAGTTCCCTGTATGCCAACTAAGTGCTCTAGTCTTTGCAATAAGATATCATGGTCGATAGTATCAAATGCAGCACTGAGATCAAGCAAAACAAGAATAGAGACATGTCCCTTGTCTGAGGCTATTAGAATGTCATTTGTGACTTTAACCAGAGCTGTCTCTTTTCTATGATGTGTTCTAAAGCCAGACTGAGAATCTTCAAATAAATCATTGTTTTTTAAGTAATCACACAGCTGTTTTGCGACCGCTTTCTCAAGAATTTTTGAGAAGAACGGAAGATTAGAAATAGGTCTATAGTTGGCTAAAACCTCTGTATCGAGGTTGTGCTTTTTAAGAAGCGGTTTTATCACTGCTACTTTGAATGATTGTGGAACATAGCCTGATAATAAAGACATATTCATAATATTTAATAAAGAAGTGCTAATGAATGGAAAAACTTCCTTCAACAGCTTAGTTGGAATTGGGTCTAACATGCACGTTGATGGTTTAGAAGAGAGAATCATTAAATGTAATATTGTTCAAGGTTAATGGCTGAAAAGCATTCTAGTTTACTATCTAGTGTAATAGAACTTACGTTTCCGGGAGCTGTTGATAACACTATACTGGTCAAAGGCAAGAGGTCATTAATTTTGTTTCTAAGAGTAACAATTTTGTCGTTAAAAAAGCACATAAAATCATTACTACTGAGTGCTATGGGAATAGAAGGCTCAATCGAGCTGTGGCTCTCTGTCAGCCTGGCTACAGTGCTGAAAAGAAATCTTGCATTATTCTTATTCTCATCTATTAATGAAGAGTATTAGGCTGCTCTCGCTTTACGCAGTGCTTTCTTATATTCATTGAGAGTAATATGCCAAATTAAACGAGATTCTTCAAGTTTAGTGGAACGCCATATCCTTTCAAGTTGTCTCGACTTTTGCTTTATTTTGCGCGTTTCGGCATTATGCCATGGAGCTAATCTATGTTATTTTATTTTATTCTTTTTCAAAGGAGCAACAGAGTCTAATTTTATTCGCAGCGCATCTTTAGCACTATCAACAACATGATCAATTTGGGGTGGTGTACATTTTGTATAAGTTTCCTCCCTTACATGCAGACATGCTATCGAGTTAAGTATTGGTGGAATCTCTTCCTTAAATGTGGCTATAGCACTAACAGATAGGTTTCTGCTGCAGGAGCTTTTGACTAATGCTTTGTAGTCTCGTAACAGTACTTCAGAAGTTACTAAGAAATGGTCGGATAAAGCAGGATTATGCGGTTCGACTAATAGTTGCTCAATTTAAAAAATACCATAAGTCAGAACAAGGTCGAGAGTGTGATTATAGCAGTGGGTTGGTTTATTTACACTGACGAAAACCAACAGAATCTAATATAGAGTTAAATGCAACAGTAAGGCTATTTTTTATCATCGTCAACATGAATATTAAAGTCACCTACGATAATTACTTTATCTGTTTTAAGAACCAAAGTTGATACAAACTCAGAGAATTCTGATAAGAATTCTGAATAAGGACCTGGTGCACGGTACACTGTAACAAATAAGATTGGCTGCAAAGTTTTCCAGGTCGGATGTGTAAGACTAAAAACGAGACTTTCAAAGGAGGTATAATTTAATTTTGGTTTAGTATTGATAAGTAAACTTGAGTCAAAGATTGCTGCAACTCCACCTCCTCGGCCCGTGCCTCGGGCAATATGAGTATTGATATGGCTGGGTGGAGTGGCCTCATTTATGCTGACATATTCTTCATGTCTCAACCAAGTTTCAGTGAGACAGCATATATCAATATTATAATCTGATATTAAATCATTTACCAATATTGCTTTAGATGCTAGAGATCTTATGTTTAAGAGACCACATTTAATTTTCCTGTTTTGTTGCACTGTAGTAGTTGTTACATTTACTTTTATTAGGTTATTATGTATGACACCTCTATTAGGTTTTATCTTAACTTGTCCTTGGGCAGACACACACACCGTTGATATTGGGTATTTTATTGGGTTCGGGATTCCTATGGATGACTGCCTAGGAGAGAGCGCGGAGAAGCGTGTAAGACTGCGACTTCGCCTCCTGGTCTCAACTCCAGTTTGTCATGGATTAAGTCCACAAAGCCCTGAAATGTTTGCCGAAATGAGATCTGCACCTTCCAAAGTAGGATGAAGCCGTCTCTCTTAATCAGACCAGGTTTTCCCCAGAAGGCTGTCCAATTATTTACGAAGTCCACATTGTTTGCTGGGCACCACCAAGACAACCAGCGCTGAAATTATGACATGCGGCTATACATGTCATCATTGATCAGATTGGGGAGGGGACCAGAGAAGATTACGGTGTCCGACATTGTTTTAGCAATTGTTTTAGCACTTTAGCTGAGAAGGTGAAGGCAAAGGCCTCATCAAAAGATCAAACTGCTTCCCGTGGACCCACCAGGGATGTGCTCCACTGTCCCCACAGGTCAGAGAACAGGTGACCCTTCACTCCAATAACCAGCAGCAGATGAGCCGGCGCAGGAAGACGCGGCAGGAGTCCAGGAAGTGGCTCGGGTAGGAACATGTTTGGAGAGAGTGTTCTTTTGGGCAGGAGGGGGGTCTCTGGTTTATTTTTGGGGCCTTGGCAACATCCCTGCTCTTTTCCTGTTTTCTTTCCTTTAGTAGGTCTCAGGTTAGCGGGGACAGATAAAACGGGGGAAAGGAGACATTCCAGAGGAGCACACGTTTATTTTTTCACACCGCAAAAGATTCAAATGGAAGCGCATTCATCTGATGGACTTCTAAAAAAGCCAAAACACTAGCTCGACAATAAACAAGTCGTTCTTTTTCCAAAGGGGAGAGCAATGGGTCAGCATTCACTCAGTTAAATGTCCAGTTTGAAAGGACTAATATGTAGATGTGGTGGGAAAATCCAAGAGACAGCTAC